TCGAGAAGTGCCGGGAGCACCTCCTCGGTGTTCGCTCTCACATGTAGCAAAAGGGAAGGGGGAAGTTGAGTTCGCAAAAATATGTATCGTTAGCCCAGCACGTGGCGACAAACACATTCCACATACATATCATTTTTTTTTTCAATTTTATCATAATAAGGAATACAAAATTTGATCTCATAAATGTGTATCTATTTTAAATAAAGGCTATAGCTACAGCTAGCTAGAAGTTTATGCAAATAATATAATATATTCATAAACATATGCGTCATAATTTACGCAATTCAACTACGCAGTTCAGGATCCTAATTAAAGTAATAGGTATTTTTCGCAACAAGTTATTCTACAGAATTTAGTAAGACGCACATTGACATACAAATTATTAAATTGCTTGTCAATTTAATTTGTGATATTATATAATTCAGTTTTAGTTTGGAGCTACGTACGTTTCAATGAATTCTCGAATACGTATTTATGAGATCTTTTTTCAAGGTGAACTTTTTCTGAGTTCCTTGATCACCTCGCAATCAAACAATAAAGATGAATATATAATGATAATCAATTCTCAATTCTATTGATATTGCACTTATCTATTGATATTTCAAAAAATATCGGCTGAAGTTCAACAAGAACGCGATTATATATAAGCGCATAAGTAATACAAATTCAGTTTAAATGATATCTTCCAACTGCACTCTTCATTTGTACAACAAAAAAATGTCTTTCTGTAAAACAACAGTTTCTAACAATATGTCTACGAAAACTGGAAACTCAGAAGATATTTTGAAAAGTTCAAATGAATATAGATACGTGATGATGTTCAAGAGTACATTCGAGCGAGAATTATTTCCGAACAATTTCGACATGTGGACTCTACGACAGCAGTGCATATGGATAAACGATAACATCGCCACATTCTTTCCGAACGTACCAAAATCATTGTTAAATTTCATTCCGGCCTCTTTTCGCCCAGGGGATTGCAATCCGTCATCATTGCAAATTCCCGAATGGTTGGACATTGATAAGTACCGCAAGGGGCAGAAATTTGTGCGTGAAAATTTTGCGTCACTTTTCTTTGGCAAAATATTTGGCATTATCCATATCTACACCTTCAATGAGTTTTTAAAACCAATAATCATATCAAAGGGCTCTCATACGCCATATTTAGCTTTTAAAAGGTATACTATATAATTTAATATATAATTAAATTTCGACAATACTTTGTACCATATACTTTGAATTGTGCAGAAAGAATAGCAAAATTAATATTTGCTGAGAATAATCAATAATTGCGTTCAGCAAAAACAGCAATTTAGCATGATTCTTTAATGTGATTGGTTTAATAAGTATACATTTAGATCTAGTGAAGAACTAAGGACAAAAACACTAATTGTACTAAAAAATTTTATAGTTGCAAAGGTGCTTTTTCTACTAAATGCGACCAATTTTTCTAAAATTATCTCCAACTCGCTATTTATACTCTAATATTCATTAATATTACATTTTTATTTCATTGGTTATATATTTATATTTTATTAGTATTAAATTTTATATTATTTTTCTTATTTAAAATTTATACACTGTTACATGATATTATATGTTAATTTTATGACATAATATTATCAATTAATGTTAATATTTTTTCTAAATTGATCATAATAATGTAATTATAACTTACAAGGTATACCGCAAACCTACAACAATTCATTAAGTGGTACGATGGAGAGCCTTGGATTGAAGGAACAGCAGCCTATAAAGGCATGCAATTTTCGCGTAGAATGCATTTAATAATACAATCAAAATTGTGCAACCTCGATCATGAACAAATTAACAACGAGTCCAAAATCGCAAAGCCGTGGTGCCCGGATCGCGAATTGATTTTAAAGGATTTCGCCGCGGTGTGTCCACTTGAGAAAGACGGACAACGTCCTTACGTCCTGATTGACAAGTTGCCATACAAGCCAAAAGGCATGAATAACGCGGACCTGGCAGGAACACAGTGCTGTTTCATAAGTTTAGCTTTACTTCACCCGCAAAAAATTGGAGTGCATAACGCGACCGATGAAGACATCGAGGCATTTTGCCATATGTGGAGATGTTACGGATATTATCTCGGAATGGAGGATGAGTATATATTTTCTTAAATTTTAGTAAAAATTATAGGCGTAATGTTTTAAAATTCTTTTTCTTTTTTAAATAAACTTTTTATTTTGGTATAATAATTTCCTTAGGCACAACTTTTGCCGCGGCAGTCTCGAGGAAATAAAGCAGCGCGCTCGGGATTTATATCAATATTGGGTATTGCCTAATCTTAAGGAAGTTACACCTGAATGGGAACATATGACAAGATGTTTTATCGAATCAATTAATTACTTTCCCTTGATGTACATGCCTTACAAAGTAATTGCATTACTTGCTATGGATACGTTAGATGTAAGCATGCCGCATTTGTATGCGTCAATGAGTTACACAGAATGGATTGGTTATAATATCTGGAGGTGAGCATACACATGTGTAGACATTTAATTTATTTCATAATGCTGCTCTAAATCATCAAATATTAAATATTGTCAATTTAAGTCAAACAATTATGTATTATAAAATACGTATATTTTAATAGAATTACACCGGCACACAAAAAAAAAAA